CTCTGGGTTGGAGGGGTCCTCTCCCACCCCTTTGACCATGTATTAAAAAAATAGAGCATAACCAGTTCTGAAATGATCGCTGCTCTTTTGTATTGTGTCTGCCCTACTCCGATGCTTGGGAAATCGTGTGGTCTGTGCTTCTCCGTGGGGAGATGCAGGATGTTTAGAGCTTGAATAGGTCTCGCTGCAAGGGAGGAGGAGCTTCCAATGCTCCCGCCCCTCCTTGTTCGTGGACCTGAATTCTTACTTGGGTCCAAACATTTCTTCCCCTTAAGACACCACCTGGTGCAATCAGGGAAGATAATGTCTTCATTCCCAGGCAGGCAAACTGAGCCTGGGAAGTTAAGTAACTTATGGATGACTGCACAGCACTGTGATGGTCTGTCTGTCTGTCTGAGGGGAGCAGTGTTCCTTTTCCCATATAAAGAGCTGAGCGGTTTCAAATACATAGTGCAAAAGCAGAAGTTACGGTTTGGGCGTCGGAGTTGTACTAAAGTAATGCATGTCCGATTGTGGGAAATCTCCTCTCTGGGTCCTTGGCCTGAATAAATGGGGAGGTTGTATTGTGTTTTCCCCCCAGGGCTAATGGACTACCCTACCTGGGAGGGCTCTGGGCTTTTGGGATGTGCTCCAGAGAGAGTGCCCACACGGATGAAGGGGATGCAGGAGGAGTGAAGAGGAAGGTAGAAGCAAACATGGAAAATGGTTTCCCTTCTCTGTCCTTGTCATTAGAGACTGACAGTTGGAGTCAACAGCCTGGGCAACCTGTTAGGACCTTCTCTAATCTCAACATGATCAGATCACCAACTGCCGCAGCCTGAGGGCACCAAACCTCTGCCAATGGGCTGTAATTGTGCAAACACTCAGCCACCTCTGGCTTCTCCACGGTCAGCTTTCAGTTTACAAATGACCTTGGAGGGCAGAAAGAAGCCTCTCTAGCCAGCATTGCTCATGGGGAAGCAGCCATTCTTGAGCTGCCTGGCTTATCTCTCCATCTTCTTTTCCGACTCCTGACAATCAGAGCTCCCAAATCCAAGAAGTGAATGTGCTTGGGTGAATGTTTGCACACATCCCTCTTGCCTGTCTCACCTCCTAGAATCCTCCCTTTTGCCCCCAGGAATTCATGGGTCATCACCAGCAACATTCCCAATATCCTTAGCCTCTTATATGAATGTTTCTTTCAATCTCTTACTCTGATCAAAACCTGGCTCCTCCTTGAAAATAACAGACCACATTACCCTACTTACTGCAGCCATCTACAAACCCGTGGGTTCTTCTACTTCATTCCTTGAAGCTATTGGCATCTGACTCACTATCAATTCCCCAATACAATTCCCATGAACATTCTTATATCCAAGTCTACTTAATGGATCCTTCTCACACTCTGGTCTCTCAACTCTTCAACATCCTCTCTCTTCCTTGACCTCCAACTGTCTCAGCTCTCTGCTCTCATCATGGCACCATCCAATGATCTCAATTCAAGCATTCCACTCTCCAGCCACCACTTCCTACCTTTTCAGCTAGTCTATTTTCTTAATTCAATGTCTCCTTGACCCTAACAGCTCCAATAATTTACTTTCCCCATGACCTTTTCTCTGTTCCTTACTGTTCTCATGGCATTTCTTCCTCTTATATCCATCTTAGTTTCCAGGTTCATTATTATCAAACTAGAGACCCGATGAATGAAATTCAGGGTTTGGCCCTCGCAGCTGCGGCCGCTGCCTCAGCGCTCACAGCCCTGGCTTCATCCGAAAGGACAAAGCCCTGGCTTTGTCCAGAAGGTCGTTCGGCTCTTCAGTCTAATTAGCATATTACGCTTTTATTATTATAGATTGTATCAGCCAATGTTTAGGAGAATTCTGCATTATGTAGTTAAATCAAATTGCCCAGGTTCATTAGTATCATCTCTCTTGATAATACATACTCAAATCTATGTCCCCCTCTCTCCATATTACTTCCTTGGAAAAACCATAACCCTGATAAAGACTAATTCTTGCTCTGCCAGCACCCAGATAAACATAATGGAGAAGCTTACAGCGTGCTTCCTGGTCTTATGTTCAATTCGTTACCACTAACTGCAAGTGAACCTTACTGCAGCCCAGCAATCACTCTACATTTGCCTGGTTTACATACTTTCTTGCACCCCTGTTACTGTGGATGAACTGTCTCTATTCCATCGAAGACCAGGTCCTCCACTGCAGATCAAATCCTGTGCCTTCTCAGGTGACTGTCCCCCCTCCCAACCTAAATTACAGTTTTCTTCTGTTTTAGATCTATACAGACATGCCACTGTTTCTATCTTAAAAAAAAAAAATCCTTTCTTGACTCCACCCTTCTCCCCATCTACCATTCTCAATTCTCAGCTGTCTTTTACAACAAAATTCATTAAAAAATTTTCTACACTCTTATCTATTTCTACCTTTTACTCTTAGACAAGCTTCTAGCTCACCCCTCTTCCAAAGTAGATCTTGTCAAGGTCAAGGCTGGCCTTGCCATTGCCAATTCCAATGGTCAGTTCTTGGTGCTAATACACTGATCCCATGAGTGACTGGGCTCAGATGGACTTTCTGCAGGATCAAACTCCTCCATTTACCCATCATGTTGTTGTTGTTGTTAAGTCTCACCAGAATATATTTTTCCATTGACTCTTTTCTTAGAGTGGAAAGGAAGGGCAGAGACACAGAGAGAAACACATCCATTGGTTGCCTCCTTCACACACCCCAGCCAGGGACAGGGATTGAGCCTGCAACCCAGGCATGTGCCCTTGACCAGAATCCGACCCAGGATCCTTCAGTTTGAGGGTTGATGCTCCATCCACTGAGCCAAACCAGTGAGGGCTTCCCCTTCATGATGAAAGGCAAACTAGTCTTTGTGTTCTGCGAGAGACCATCTGCAGAGGGCTTTGGGTCAGCCAGGCCTTGGTTGTAATACCAGCTCCACTATTAGCTAGAATTTTAATTTCTGCCAGCCTCTGTTTTTTGTAAAAATAGAGATAATAATCATTCCTAACTCATAAGGTTGTGATTAGAGTGCAATAAACTAATCCACGTAGAGTTCCAAGAAGAAAGACTGTCATATTGTGAAGATCTGGTAAATAATAGTTACTAGAGGCCTGGTGCATGAAATTCGTGCACAGGGTGTGTGTGGGGGGGTGTCCCCTCAGACCAGCCTGCAACCTCTCCAATTCTGAACCCTGACTGCCGGTTTAGACCCGATCCCGGGCTCCTAATTGCTCACCTGCCTGCCTGCCTGATCGCCCCTATCTGCCCCCCACTGCTAGCCAGGTTGCCACCACCTGCCTCCTCCCTGCCTGCCTGGTCGCCCCTATTTGCCCCCCACTGCTAGCCAGGTCGCCACCACCTGCCTCCTCCCTGCCTGCCTGGTCGCTCCTAACTGCAACCTCCACCCCACCCTGCCAGCCTTGTCGCCCCACGCACCCTGCTTGTTCAGTCGTTTGGTCATCCCTAACTAACCCCCCTGCCAGCCTGGTTGTAGGCAGCCATCTTGTGAGGGTGTGAGGGTTAATTTGCATATTACCTCTTTATTATATAGGATTATTGGATGACAAACTCCTTTTACAGCTGAGAGAATGGGCTCCTTCACAGCTTTGAGTTACTGGAAGGAGTCACAAACCACAGAATATGCTCCAAATTAAGGGTAATGTAATATCGTCCCTACTTGTGTTCCAAGAGTTGGCTTGAAAGTTGGTTATATGGAGCCAGCACCAGGCACTTCCCATAAGAAGAGCATCGCAAATGCTCCAGCAGCAGTTAGATGCTGAGCCTGCCCAACTGTTCTAACTCACAACGGACTCCCCTTTGTTCCTCCTATAAATTGATGCCTCCTAAGCTAAGAACTTTTCTTATAGTACTTTAGGTATTTGAATTTCCTAATCAACCAAAGCTAATGAGAAAATATTTTTCTTTTTTCAATATTTGCTTTTGAAAATGCTTCTAAAATGTATGATTCCAATTTCCTATCTTAGGAAGCCAGAGCAAACAATAATATTTCCTGTTAATTAAACAAACATTTATGGAGAATTTACCACAATTCCAGGCACTGCGAGGCACTGCAGCTACAAAGGTGATCAGAACAGGGTCCTGCCCTCAACTTACTCAACTCCTAACAAGGGATTCGATGTCAGAGGACCTTATAGAACTGCAGGGAATATCCCAAGTGCCCAGCCTTGCTTGACTCTGATAGGCCCCTTATAAAGACACGGTTCTGCTCTAGCTCATTTGGCTCAATTGGCCCACAGCAGGCTCGATTCCACTCAAGGGCATGTACCTTGGTTGCAGGCTCGATCCCCAGACCTGGTGGTGGTGAGGGTGCCTGTGATAGGCAACCAATCAGTGTGTCTCTCTCACATCGATGCTTCTCTCTCTGTGTCTCTCCTCCTCCCTTCCACGCTCTATAAAAGATCAATGGAAAAATATCCTCAGGTAGGATTAACCAAAAAAAAAGGAAACGGTTCTGCTGGAAGGCCACTGAATTATAAAGGACAGTGCATTAGTTTATGGGCTGTCAATTATTAGGGGGCAATCCCAGGATGTCATTAAGCCTCTCAGAGCCTCAGTGTCCTGACAACAACACTCATCTCATTGGATTGTCTGGACAAGCAACACAGGTAAAGTATGAGAGAGACCAAGC